CATTCTTCGTGATCTGTGCCTTCGTTACCAATGAGTACATCCGTACAGGTGTTAAACAAATGCCAAAAGCACTCAATCAATCGACAGACGATTTGATGCTTTATCTTAATAACACTCAACTCGAAGTGAATACACTTTTGCGAACAAATTTCGATCAATTGGAACACGAATTGAGTGATAGTCTCGATAAAAGTGGTTTAATTGTCAAAAACAGAATCGCTATCCTCTCAGAAGCGGCCGCTTTAGACAATTTGACAGATATTGTCTCCAGTATGTGATCACATCATTTGATCCAATGTTTTGTTGATTATATTAATATATTTGTTTTATTCAGAGTTGGGATCTGTTTTGGAAGATCTGAAGACTCTATCGGGCGAAACGACTGAACTCCGATTACTGACCGTTCAGTTGCAGTCAAGACTCTCTAGAATTAAAGAAGTAAATCTAGTTTTCTATCATTTTTATGAACACTATCTAAACTATGCAACTCTTAATGATTTTGATTAGGATTTGGATAAGTTTCTGCAGCAATGCAGAGACAGAGTGTGCACTGAATTGAAATTCAAATACAATAGAGTAATGGAGTCGTTCTCAGTGTCCACTCGGATCGACGATTTGCCCGATTTGTCGCCATTAATGCAAAATATATCTAATTTACTGAACGCTAATATAGTTAATGAAATTAGGAAAGGAAAGGAGGCTTTCGATGAAATTAGTTTCAAAATCCAAGCGACTGTTAATCACACGATTCCCGACATTAAGAAACAGATTAGAGCCGTAGGTTTGGATTTGGGTTTAGTGGCCGACGATATTAACCAAGTGTTGAGACGACCGTTCGCTGATTTGGCTAAAGTTAAATCCAATGTCTATACGGGACAGACTTATATCGAGAAATACGAGATCTATCGGTAATATGCGAATACATTATTGACACAACTCTTGACTTTAATTTTCAAATATATTTTTATTTCATGTCTAAACAGATGGTACGCCTGTTTGGCCGGCGCTTCCATACTATCCCTAATACTCATTCTCTATTCATTTGGATTGTTATGCGGTGTCTGTAATCAACAGCCGACTCGTCATAACTATAAGTGGCGTTCAAAGTCTTCGTCGCGTTTCTTCTGTTGTGGAATTGTTTTAGTGGTCTTATTGTTCTTCCCTTTACTTCTCTCATCGATTACTTTAT